TCATTTTTACAAATTAAAAATATGTGATCTAAACAAGTTTTGATTCACCTTATACCCTTGTAGGCTTAATAATAACTGAAATGAAATCAAATTCTGCCATAACATCTAAGTATTCTAGAATAGTATCTCTTTCCGGCTCTAATATATTCAAGTTAATATCTCCTGTAGTGATGTGTAAATTCCTTTTCAACTTTCTGTTTATGTCCAGATAATGTTTGAGGTTGAAGATAAAATCTTCTTCGTTTATTGAGGGTGGCCTATATAAGGCAGTAATTAATATTTTCTGTTCCCTGTTGGATTTAATTGTTGATTCAATAGCTTTACATCGACCGATTTTTACATTTTGATGTTTATATGTAATTTTTTTTTGTATATATACCATAACCCCATCGTTCTTATTTATTTCTCCTTCATTATATAGAGTATCATATCCGTCGAGATGAAAGAGATTACAGTTCTCAACTTTGAAAGTATAACGTCCATATTCATTTGAGCTTGTTCTAAAAAAATCATTAACTCTTCCAAATTTTTATTAATACTCCTTATATTTTGATGAAATAAGGTAAACTTTTTATCAACATTTCGGATTCGTAATCTACGCATCAAAATACGTAAGTACAGTCAAAAATTTTTTCAAAATCGCCGGGTGTCCACATAACGAAAATTTACCATATCTTCAATTGTTTCTTTAATTACGTTTACAAGGTCTTCGTTTCCATCGGCCTTCTCTTTTATACCGTAGAAAACCAAATTGAAGCTTCTCAATTTCCTTTCAATACTTTCCTGTTTAGTTCTCAATTGATGTTTTTCTCCAGGACTTTAATTCTTTCATTGAGTATTTCAAATCTTTCATTTGTTATTTTTATAAATGATTTCAGTTCACGGTTCCCTTTATCTATTTTTTCTGAGAGATTATTATTGATTCTTTCTAAGAGGCTGTACAAATCTTTATTCGTTGTTTTCTTTATTTTCTCCCATAATATTTTATCGGCGCCACTGGAATATTTGTTTCGGGGTTTTTATGGTAAGTAGGCCCTTTTTACTGTTGAAGAATTTCAAGGTTTTTGTCGATAAATTTGATTAATTATTCGTGACTGTACACATAATTCGAGTTGTTTAAAGTACTACGGATTTCAAAACTCACATATTCATTTGAGATTTGTAGGGATTTGATTTCTAGATGCACTCGTGTCAAATTCCACTTTTATTAACCACTTTTTACCACGTAAATTACACTTTATGTCGGACACACATTTACCAACTCGGATAATATACCAACCAACTAGGATAATCGAAACAACTGTAAATTTCCAATCGCGGTTTGGATCCCACACATAAGACAGGTTCTAACTTCTAGACAAAAGGATATATCTATGGAATTTTGAGCCATGGCTTGAAGCCCGCGCGATAAACCATAAATCTAATTCAGTATTTTTGTTAATTGCAATGCAGAAAGACGGCACTTTGATTTACATGAATACTGAATTAGTTGTGGTTTGGAGGCCATGTGAAAGATGATGGGTCGTGTTCACTCAAAAGATGATCTCTGCCGAACCCTTACGAATAAGAAGGATACATTAAAATAATCACAGGAATCGCAAAACTAAGGAAGAATTCCTATCTTATGTTTGAAAAAAATGGTTTGACAAAAATTTTTTCTATGTAAGACGAAGCATATGAGAATTAGCACTCGGAATGAGGTTGAAGGTGTCAGCTAATTTTTAGAAATTTTTGAATGTTTCGATGAATAACAATGATAATGATAATAGTTCATTTTCCTCTAAGAAATCGTTCATGACTTGGAAAGATCGATTGCAGCTTGAGAAATGGTTCTGATACAGATTCTGTGAAATATGTTCTTCCTTACGAATCAGTAGAGAGTTGTCCTGAAAATCTTGAGAAAAAAATTGGATTAGATGATTTAGGAAAGACTTGTTACATGAATAGCATTTTATAAGTGTTGTTCATGACGAAGAATTTCAAGAACGAGGTTTTAACGATGAACGAGAACGAGAATGTTTCCTACTTATTCACCAAACTCAAACAATTGTTCATGCAGTTGTAGTTTCGTAAGAATGTATCATCTTTCCCACCAACCGATTTCCTGAAGTCTTTGAAGTCCACTAGATACTCCTTAGGACAACAAGAGGATTGCTCCGAATTCTTGGGGTTCTTCGTAACCAAAAAAATAGCAGAAGCAATACTCCTGTCCGCTCTGGATTGAATGATTCCGTACAGTCTATCTCGTCTTGTCTTTGTAGTTTTTTTGCTGGAAAATTCTCACTTGATATCTTTGTAGTAAATGTTCAATAGGTAGCAAAAACGTATGTAATTTTCTGGAACTTCAACTAATATGACTGATAATCAGTCCGTGCAAAGCTTATTGTTAAATCATTTGAAAACGGGTGCTTTTAACGGGTGATGATCCACTGTATTGCCAAACATGCACCAAATTAACTGACTATTATAAGAAAACAAGTATATCTGAGGCACCAGTCAATATAATAATAACACTGATGATCTTCAAACATGACTCAACCTCTGACGGAACCACCAAACTCTTACGGAGGTTCAAAGTAGATGAACACTTCAATCTAGCAGACCATTATTATAATCTTCATGCAGTTATTATTGTTTATGGTCAAAGACGAAACGGACTGGTTTAAGTTTGATGATAGTCGTGTAACTAAGAATTATCTGGAAAATAAATTTCAGTCTGAAATCCACGCGTGAGTGGATTTCACCAGCCAGTGAGAAGATAAGGAAAAAACAACAGAGGAAAATAAGTGAGTCATCATCAGGTGGATTATCATTTTCGCAATCATCAATTGGATATTTATCATATTTTCCCACTCTCTTCAATGCTGCAGGAATCTTATTACTCTGATATGTGTAAAATTGGCCGGTACTTGAAGAAGATCCACAAAATATTCAAGAAACACCTCATTGTGGGATTTTCACTAAAAGTTTTACAGAAACTCAACACGTGTTTCGCGATACAATAGCTTCTTCAAGTGTGCAGGTGTTTCTTGAATACTTATTACTTTATAAGGAAATAAATATTTCGAAATAAATTAGGAAATATCAATCCCTCCCAACTACCTACACAGTAGAGTGTGGTAAACGTGGTCGAAAAACAACTACTTTCCCCGGTCAATACCACGCTGGATATTGAATTATATCCGACATACATTCATGCAAGAATCCTCACAGAGGAATCCTCCTCCCGCAGATGTTTCTCGTTCATCCAGCAGCATTTAATATCCAGCATGGTAGTAGCCGGGGAAGCAGTTGTTTTCCGACAGACGTTCACCACACCCTACTGTGTAGGTAGCTGGTAAAGATTATTATTTCGAAATTTATTTCGAAATATTTATTTTCTTATATGTATGTCTCTCTTCGTTAGTTTTCACTTTTGATTTCTTATTACTTTAGTTTCTTCAACATTGATACTTTTGAGAATATTCCACTTTTCTTTTACAGATCAAATATTCACAATATGTCTTTTCTGCTTTTCAAAGATGATGATGTGAAATTCCGCAATAATATATCATTATAATATTTATTATACAATAATAATTATCATAATTCCGGTGTGATACCTGTTCAAAGCCTTATAACTGAGCTTTTGTAATTATTTTATGTTATCTGTGACCCAGGGCTGTTTTTATAGGTATTTTGAACGTATGTTTCACTAGGAGCATGTTTGTTTATTAAGTATATGATTGTTTTGTTGAGGATATAATGAAAATGCTCACTTTCAAGGAACCTAACTTTCTCCGTCTATTTCAAACGATCAGTACATAAGATAGTGTTTTACAATATTTATATCAATATTTCCCAAATTTTTCACTTTAAAATTTGAATATGAATGGTTAATCAGTGAAAAGTGAGATTGTTCTGAAATATCCTGTCATAGATTCAAAGATATTGTGATGGACACGAAGTCATCAAGAGTGTTGGATTGAATATATATCAAAATAATCTATATAGAAGTCTCCGAAGAATATTATCTAATTCTAATTGACGTTATACACAGTATCCTAGAAACTATTGAAGAAATCTTCAGAACCGCCTTCTGGTGTAATGTAACATAAAACGATGTCATTTCTCTTTTTTAAACTTGATTTCCGGCCACTGGTGTTGTAGAAAGTGCTCAATTCTCAGAAGTAATTATTTTGGAATTGATAGCTTTCTCAACACGTTTATAGGTTCTATCATTACTGATAATGTCATAGCCAAGAAAATACACTATATCATTCGTAATTCCTGGATTCAACCAAGTTTCCTATATAGGAGAGATTTAAAATATTTTCAATTCCATTCGATTTGGCAGCTAAAGGGCAAATATGTTTATGACCTTCAGAAATCAGCATGTTTTTCAATTAGAAATACTATTTACAGATCAGAATAACTATATTTTGAATAGAATATAATTTTATTTTTCGGGTTTGAACACCATCGATTTTTGGAATTTTTCCTAACGTTTCGCTGGCGCGAAAGGCTAGCTTCCTCAGACGTTTATACATCAATCAATGTTTAACACGCTTAAGACCCGTGACGGTTGGTCACTATCGAGTGATATTGGGTCTCAGCTTATCCTGGAATGCCATATCTATCAGGTACACGTAGCAAATTTCATTGGTAGCTAATATCTGGACAGTCAGTTCATTGGCCGGGAACGGCGATGATCTTATATCTACTGGTCAACACTATTCAAGAATTGAGCTGAATACTTCATTACATCCTGGCACACTCTAATCAAACCAAGACAAGCGAATCGGTCATTTGAACAAATTAAAACAAATATTGACCGATATGAACGAAGCGTAGCCCTAGAAGGTCTATTCGAACCTTCAGGCAAAGAGCCNACCTGCATGATCAAATATCAGGTTTATCCCGATGTTGAAACTCATGTAATGATAATAATAAATATATATGTTTCCATCAACGCGGTTTAGTTTCATCCATCACCATAAAATGAATAAAATTCAACTCACCACCATGTCTGTTCGAAGATTTCAATTAATCCAGCATAGCGTCTGGGTTTCAGTAGGGCCTCATCTGATCCTTTGTCCAGGGTTCATCACAGTGATCCTTTACGGTCTCTTGACGTGGCTCCGTTCCCATTGTCCTATTCATACAATTGAGCACAATCATTTCAGAATATATAGGTGAATCAATCAAAAGAATTGAATCTATTGTGAGAACTATAAGCAAGGCTTTTCGGTTACAATTATTTCTTGAATCATTCAGTTAAAAGCTAAAAAGTATGATATTACGTTAAAAAAAGTCAAATACAAAATACTAGATTTAATTTCAACTGTTTGCCTAAAATGGAGAGCAGAGGAAGAAAGACAAGACAGAATACGAATTTTCTTTGTTGAACAATGTAGAAGCTTGGCATTGCAATAGGGAGTTCAGTTTATTATTGGTATTCGTGGACTCAGTGTTCCACCGGTTCCGTACAGGGTGTCTCAGTAAGGAGATATGCTATCGCTTTCTCTCACTCAGGCTCCTCCATTGCATGCATGCCTAGGTAATCTACTGGATAAACTACTAACTAACATACGAAATGAATCCTTATCCATTCATAACCAGCATAACCCATGTACCAGCACGGCTTCCGCCTCGAACATTCCACCGAAAACTCACTCATTGAATTCCAAACACACATCTCTGGAAATATCAAATCCTCTTATAGTACGGCTGTCGTCTTGCTAATCATTCAAAATCTCAGACATTCTGTTGATAATTGAAACAATTTATTTTCCATTAAGAATTTAAAATGGATGGAATAAGCAATCAACACCTATCAGAAAGCCTATCATCATGTAAAAATCAACATCACGTGAACGAAACATACGTGTCACGCGATATGACAAAACATTTGATATGTCACATCATCAAAACCTACCTAGTCACCAAGAAATAATTTGTGAAATCTCAACGAATTTGCGTTTCAAATCACTGATTTTCCTAAACAACGACAAAGTGCCATCAAATCTCTTGGGAAAAGTCATTGGGTATCTGCCACACGTACCTATGAAGTCCTAGGTTCACATGAGACGCAAGAGGTAAGATGTTTTCCACCTGAACTTGGGCATGATATGCACCTCTCTGGAATAGTTTCTGCATATAGTAATCACGTTTCTTATTAAACTTTAGAAGATGATATGATTTTATTTTCAAGCATGGTCTTATGACAAGATTCTCAAGAGACAACAATGTGAAAGTTACTTTAAAATTGGTTGATTCAAACATGCGCCCAGCATATCAGTGATTTCAAGAATGACATTGACTAACTAGCTCCGACTGACTATGTCAAGTAGGTGTTACCCTGCTTTTTATATCCATCATTCATACAAGATTTTTCATCGAATAACCTTTTACAATTCAGAACAATAATCTGATCATAATTTTGGAGAGTTTTTTAATAAATGGTTTCTATAGAACGGAATAGGCATTTTGAGGTACAGCTGGACACTTTTCCTTTAAGAAACTCGATTTTGATTCAAAAATGAGAACATTGAAACCAGTAAATTTGCCAAACAAACATTAAGCACGTGGATGACAAGACTTCTGGCAGAATCTTCCAGAATTGGCTCACTCCAAGGCATTTATTCACCTTTCGAAACTTGATACCAAACAGTCGTTGGACTATATAGTAGGGATGAACTACGATTTCTGACAGGCCTTCTTACAGGTCACTGTCATTTGATTCATCATATGCAGAAACTCGTGCTGTCGGAAGACAGTGTGTGTCGCCTCTGTTTGGAAAATGAAGAAACAGCAAAGCACATACTTTGTCCTTGCTCCGCTGGGGATCGAATCAGGTTTTCAGAGTTTGGCAGAGCCGTACTCTTACCATCTGACCTAAAAGACCACTTACCATACAAACTAATCGGCTTCGTTAAAAAGCTGGGTTCATTTGGTCGAGTTTGAATAGGTGTGAGCCACAATAAACCCTTGCGAGTTGCGGTGAAGGGTCGATGAATTTTTGTTATAAAACCATTTGCTATAACACTATCTTCAATTTCGGATCGAATATTGGTAATGAACTTTACATAAATGTTCATTTCCATCAACAAAATAAATATTCAGAAGAACTTTCTCAAAATAGATCCCAATAATCTCACTATTTGTATATCATCAATACAAATTAATTACTTCAGAATGTTGAATTTTTACTTAGTTAATTGAACGCGAGTCGAGGAAAGTGTCACAGTTCCGGTATTTCAGAACAATGCTTGTTTTGGTTTTCATTGTTTGTCGAAAATTCATCTGAATTCGAACGTAACACACGACATTTTTCGAATAACAATATGTAAACATTCTCCACAGTATAATGTTATCAGTTATCATAACAAGCTTCCAAAAAAATTTCAAAAGCTTCTTCATTACAAAGTTAAAATGTTAATCATATACAAGTGCTACGAATTCAAATTTTGAATGATTTTAGCCATTTCCTGACAGTGTGTATCTTAAATGCTTCGCTTCCACACAGTTTTACTGACAATATTTCATGGAATTATATTTTGAATTTGGATTTCAGTGGCGACGCAGATCGATTGATATTTATGGTAATAAAATAATGATGAAATAACTTTTAAAACAAGCTTTTATTTTAATGCCCTAAAAAGATCAAAATACAATTTTTGATCACATTAACCACATTGATTTATGACTTTACAGAACTGAAATTATAATAAAAGCTTGTCGCGATAATTTCAATTTGTAATTGAAATTTTGTAATTAGGTAGGTACCTACTAAATTTGTAAGCAATTAATAATGTTTGTAATCAAATAAAAGTGCTGTGAATGTCTAAAATGTTGAATTTTAACCTTGAATAATTTTTTTGCACACATAGGATTTATCGGGTTTGAAATTTATTGCAGTACCTAGTTGATCTGTCAGAATGTTTCTTATTTTGAATTTCTTCTGACTGAATATGTAAAGATTTCTTCTAGGCATCGCGACAAGCTTTTATCATAATTTTAATTCTGTAAAGTCAAAAATGAATGTGGTTAATGTGATACAAAATTTTATTTTGATATTTTCAGGGCTCTTAAATAAAAGCTTGTTTTGAAAGTTATTTTATCATTTCAGTGTCATTGCTTTTCGAGTTTGAAAGCCGAGGATTTTTGGAATTTCTTCCTGACGTTTCGCTAGTGCGAGTGGCTAGCTTCTTCAGAGGTTTAACCATCATGGCTTGCTGTCCGATGATTACCTTTTAGCCTCCGTAAAGCGTATTTATGTCTTGTCAGGTAATCCGTTGTATCTGTACCTGTACTCGTACCTACTCTTGTACCTGTAGTCGTACCTGCACTTGAACCTTAACAATCTCGCCGCCTGTTGTCCTGTTCGTTATTCTCGAATTCCTTAAAATGGGGTTCCATATTCGATTGAGGTTCACCATTTCTTCTTTTCTGTTGAAATTCTCCGTGTGTTTGTGAATCTCTATTGCCTCCCATACCAGTCGGCTATGGTATCCCTGGTTGGGAGCAATTAGTTTTGTGATTTCAAACAAAATTCTGTGGTCTCCTTCACCAAGTGCGTGTTCTACTGTAGCCGACTTGTCCGTTTGGCCTAGTCTGCAGTTCCTTTTATGGTCTTTCAGTCTTGTTTCCATGGATCATTTGGTGGTTCCGATATATACCTTTCCACACGTGCATGGTATGCGATAGACCCTGCTGCTGATAATGGGTCTCTTTTGTCTTTAGGCTTTGTTGTATCTTCCTCGTGGGTTTGAAGACTGTTTTGATGTCGTGTTTGCCCAATAGTTTTCCAATACTGTCCGTGACCCTAGGGATAAACGATAGATATGCGTGTGCAACCATCTGATCCTTTTTTGCTTTCTGAACCGTGGTGCCCTTCGGTTTCATGGCTTTTCTGGTCTCGGAGGCACTGTACCCATTCGATCTCAAGGTCACTTCAAGGTATTTCAGTTCCCTCTCCAGATGTTCTGGTTCACATATTCTCCTAGCCCGTTCCGTTAGAGTGGAGATGACTCCTCTTTTGGCTAGTATGGTGGTTCGATAGTACGTGCACCATGATCCTAGCATATTGCACACGCATATCTACCGTTTATCTCTAGGGTAACGGACAGAATTGGAAAACTATTGGACAAACACGACATCAAAACAGTCTTCAAACCCACGAGGAAGATACAACAAAGCCTCAGGTCAGCTAAAGACAAAAGAGACCCATTATCAGCAGCAGGGGTCTATCGCATACCATGCACGTGTGGAAAGGTATATATCGGAACCACCAAATGATCCATGGGAATAAGACTAAAAGAGCATAAAAGGAACTGCAGACTAGGCCAAACGGACAAGTCAGCTGTGGCAGAACACGCACTTGGTGAAGGAGATCACAGAATTTTGTTTGAAAACACAAAACTAATTGCTCCCAACCAGGAATACCATAGCCGACTAGTACGGGAGGCAATAGAGATCCACAAACACATGGAGAATTTCAACAGAAAAGAAGAAGCGGTGAACCTCAATCGAATATGGAACCTCATTTTAAGGAATTCGAGAATAACGAACAGGACAACAGGCAGCGAGATTGATAATGTTCAAGGTTCAAGTGCAGGTACGACTACAGGTACAAGAGCAGGTACGAGTACAGGTACAAATACAGGTACAGATACAACGGATAACCTGACAAGGCATAAATACGCTTCACGAAGGCTAAAAGGTAGTCATCGGACACCAAGCCATGATGGTTAAACCTCTGAAGAAGATAGCCACTCGCGCCAGCGAAACGTCAGGAAGAAATTCCAAAGTATACAAAATTTCGTGTCCCTGCTATTTACCGCTGAGGACATCTCTCGTACGGAGCCGATCCTGGCAGCAGCATCAGGTCACGTTCATGATTTACATGCATTGTCATCGGTTCTGGACCAGCATGCAAAATTTCAGGTCAATCGGATAACGGAAAGTGGGTCAAATTAAACTTGCAAGATTTGTTAAAATACATACAAGTCAAGTTAAATGAAAGCTTTTAAAAATCATAAACGCCACTGTTTCTGCTAAGTTTGATATTATTTGAAATATCATTCGAAAATGTTTATCATAAATATCAGTCAGATAACCTGTTTAACGCCACTGGAATCATTATCCGTAAGCCAATTTCATGAAAAAAGGCCCTTATTACTGCCAACAGTGTAGTTTCATCAGAATCGGCATTGAGACTTTTGAGTTATTATTGAAATAACAATATTTTTAG